GTGTCTACTGCATCACACTAGCTTTCTACAAACTGGTGCATACTTGGGGTGATGCAAATGCTGAGATGAAAAATGAGATGATGGGAATTTTTGCCCTTTCCTTTTTTTCATTGCTCAGAAATAACTCTAGTTATTATCTAGTGTTGTCTGCTAGGACATTGACATAGTCTTTTAGGTAGAATTTTCACCCATTGAGATTTCATAAAGAGGATTCCATTGGTATAACAATTTCAGTTTAACCGAAACCAGGGGTGGGGAATGACAGTCTCTGATCTACGATCATGAGTTTACAGTCTACCAAGGGAGATAGAACATAAACATAGAAAGTCTAATCCTAGTGAGGTAGGCCTGCATTATGATAAGGTGACAAGGTCAAAAAGCATTTGAGTAGGAGTCCCCCCACTATCCTACCTTGTCCCTTTACCACTGTGTCCTCACATGTGCTCTGAAAACCTCTTGGACTGAAAACATCTTACAAGGCAGCAAAATCCACTGCCGACTTCCTCGATCCTTATGTTTTTGTGTTACTTGTAAAAATTTCCAGGTCACATCCTTACATAAGCAACTACCTCTTTTGGTTAGTTGAACTGACATATTGGAAAGGATTCCCTAATTATGAAATCAGATATGAAAACATTAGATTTACTGGTCCCTGGCTAATTCCCCTGAACTATAAAGTAGGAAGGGAACTATGATTGGTTTACCATTTCTTTTTTAAAAAATCAATTTTATTGATAACCTTTGTTATGTAGTCTAGATTTTTTCCTGTATCCTTCCTCCTCCTTTAGAGCCATCCTTTAAAACAAAACATTTTTAGAAAAAGAAAATGAGGAAGAAGAGAAAAAATTCAGCAAAATAGATCAATAGCTTTACCATTTAAAAAAACTATAACTAGAATGTAGTTAGACCTTATTTATGCCTTCTTTTATGTGAGGTAAACATGTCATAATTAATGACCTATTATTGCTTTATTTATTACTTTGTAATTTATGTTTCCAATAATAATTTGTTGTTAGTTGTGTTTTACTCTTCATGGCCCCATTTGGGGTTTTCTTAGCAAAGATAATAGAGTAATTTACTGTTTCCTTCTCCAGCTCATTTTACAGATGAGGAAACTGGGGCAAACAGGGTTAAGTGACTTGCCCAAGGTCATACAGCTAGTAAGTGTCTGAGGCTGGATTTGAACTAAGAAAGATGAGACTTCCTGACTCCAGGACGGGTGTTCCATCTGCTGTATCAACTGCTTTATGTATTACTTTTTAATGTATTACTATTATAGTTTTATGTACTACTAGGGCTTTGCAAAATATCCTTAAGTCCACAAAGGAAAGCTCCCACATTCCTTACGAAAACTTAAGGAGGAAAAGAACACTTTGGGACTGGGGAAGTGGGGCACCTAAGCTTTGCTTTAATGGAATAATTCTGAAAATCAAATATTTCTGAAAAGGCACCTGAAGGTTTAAAAAAACAACAATACTTAATAGGTCCAGTAGATATTGTTATACATGATAAAACTGTGATTGAGTATAGAGCTTATAGCTTCTCCACCCTTGCTCATTTGTCCTAGAATAAGCATTGGCTGCCATATTTGGCAAGAAGGAAGAAGTCACATTTCTGCAAGTTAATAGGTATGCTCACTGGGAATCAAGTAGCCACTGAATTCGGATATTTAAGCAATAACCTACATTTGCATAGCCTTGTAAAGTTTATAGAATGCTTTTTTTTTTCCCCACGAGGCATTTGGGGTTAAGTGACTTGCCCAGGGTCATACAGCTAGTAAGTGTCAAGTATCTGGTCTGAGATCAGAACTCAGGTCCTCCTGATGCCAGGGCCGGTGCTTTATCCACTGCACAACCTAGATGCCCCTAGAATGCTTTTTTTTTTTTTTACAACAGTCCTGTGAGGTGGATCATATGAAAACAGGTGAGAGAACAGATTGAGAGCTGAACTGAGTTCCTTAGAGTTCATTTGCTCTTAAGAGGCAAGCTTTGGACTCATGGCCTGTCCTCCTGACTCAGATCCAGTATTATTTTTGCTAAATAATACTCTCATTAAAAAAGAAAGACAAATCTAGTAAAGAGGCTATACTTTCAGAACAGGGGAGGATGTGAAATGTAAAGATAATTTTCTTTCTATCTTTTCACACTTTAGTTAAGCTCCACCTCTCATCTCTCTGCCACTCTAGCTATAACCTGCCCACAGACTTTGTTCATCCAAAATTAACTTGGTTTAACTGACAGTATGTAGCAGTGCAGAGTGCTGAATCTGGAATTGGGAGACTTGATTTCCACTATTGGCTCTGACTCCTAAGAGCTGTCAACAAAGGCAAATCCAGTAACCTTTGAGCTTCCGTTTTTCCTCATTGATAAAACAGGGATAGGACTCCTTAAGTCACTGTGGAAGTTTTTCTTCATACTTTTTTCCTCTTTTCCTTTTTTCTTTGAGAGAGTATAAATACTTCCTTGTAATCTTAGCCCCTTTGCCCTTGCTTTTTCCAGAATGTAGGACATGACCAGGAACATCTGACCCTTCCTCAGGAGGCAGTTAACTCTTTTGATCACCTGCTGATTCAGGCTTTTTCTACTCAGTAGTAGGAAATACTGAATTTTTACATTCCTGAGCCTTTACCACAGGAGTTGAAATAACTCCTAATCCTCCTGATGCCTGCCCTACTGCTGCATGTATCCAGGTGTGACAAAGTAGTGAAGGGCCTTTCTTAAGGCATCAAGAAGTATTTTATTTATAGTCATGTTATTCCCTTTAGAAACTAATTTTTTTTTAAGTTGCAGAACCAAATGATAAGAAGACATTGAACAGAACTTATCCTCAGTTCATCACAGTTACACTGAATGAGTACATTATTACTTTTTCTAAGTTTACATAGAAACACAGAAATTGGGACCAGAGTTCATATCCTTGCCCAAATATTTACCTGGTCATGTTGGGCAAGTCACAACCTTTCACAAACCTTTCGGTTTCTTCATCTATAAAATGAAGTGTTGGACTAGATATCTCTCAAGTCCCTTCCAGCTCCAGAAGCTAATAGTCTATGAATAGGTGCTGAGAGGAAATTTCTTAATGGTGATAACAACAATCATAGCATTTATCTATCCAAAATACTCCAAGTACAGTGCTTTATAAAAGTGCTCCAATGTTAATTTGTTTTTAAAATCCACTCAAACTATAGGATGGTATATTTTAAATACTTAAACATTAAGAAAGAAAAATACCTTTATTAGTACCTTATACCACTTCAGGTGAGCAGCAAAATCATTTGTTCTTTCCATTTCCTTTTCTTTTTCCCTCCTAGGGAAATGAGTAGGAAGGAAGAGTTATTAGAATTTGATTCTCACCTCTCTACTTTTTGGTTTACTCCACCTCCAATTTACTAAAAGGACTTTTGATCTTAATTCCTTCTGCTTTATGGTAGCACTGAGTCATAAATGGAGTTGTAAACCTGGGTAATTTAGAAGAGTAGGTGGTTCCCTCAGATATAACTATTGTCAGCTAGATGGTGAATGATTCAAATAAAATCATTTGAAGTAAAAGATTGTTTTAACCCCTAATGTATTTCATATGGGACTTGGTGAGAAGGCAACATTTTAAAACTAAAAGACCATCAGATTTTCCTTTCCTATATTCCTACACTATATACACCCTTTCTGAATTGTATCAGAAGGAGAATAATTGTAAACAATGTTATTTACTTTGGAAAAGTTACAGGACCTGTACCCTAATTTTATAAAGTGAAAGCAAACATCATAGGTACCATAATGCAAGTAACTATAGAGTTTCAGATTATCATCTGTTTTTAAATTATTATGGCAGTAATGTTGTGATTGCATGCTGTCAGAAACCATCATTGTGTTGGTTTGTTTTTCTTAACTTTTCCTTTGTCTAAGGAAGGCTGTCTGGAGTTAACTAGTTAGCCTCTAACCTCCACCAGCAGTTAGAGAGTCTTCGGAACTCCATATCTTTTGGGTGCCAGGAGTCTTAAAATCTTTAGCTCTTGGTCACAGAGTATGTATAGAACTGAGTCTCATAGAATAATTATACATTTCTGTTCCAGAAAGAGAGCAGTTTAATGGGAAATAATAGCAGCATATAGACAATATGAGAAATAGCATAACAGTAAACATAAATATAGTAGAAATTGAACTGCCAAGCATATTGATTATTAGAACTATTCACTTAATACCAAACAAATAAATCTTATCAATGACAATAGATTACAGCTGGTACCTGTTTTAGGCCCAGTTGTGATTATGCAGATACAAGGCCATGTGAACTTATAACAGAGGAGAACGAAAAGGAAAAGTGCTGCAAATTGAGGCTTTTACTTCATGGTGTAAATAAGGATTATTTTCCAGGTCAAAGTTGAGCCAAGACAGTCTTACAACTTACTTACTCCCTCATGGCTACCCAGAAGGAAAGAGGCCTGGAGCATAGCCGGGAGGCTACTCTCTTGTTGCTAGCCAGAAAGGAGCTGGATCAAAGAGGAGAGATCCCAATAGACCTATTGAAGTCCTGCTGCCTTGCTACCTCTAGTCAAACTAGGTCACTTGCTTGATCACGTCTCCAAGAGTGATACAGCCTACTAAAACTTCTCTCAATGGGAAAAGCCATTTTGGAATGAGGAGTGTCTGACTGGATTATATGATCATATAATGTAAATTATTTGTAAATTTTGAAAGAGGTGAACTAAGTTGCGGAGAGATGGGTTCTTCCACTCCCTTATCCAGAGGATGTAAATTGTTAGCATATGACATTGCCAGGGATAGCAAAGAGCTGAGGATATCTTGTAAAATGAGGTGAGAATATTAATTGGGAAGCAAATGTGATATAAAAAACATTTGATTATAATATATGTACTCAGTATGTTTTGTAAACTAAACAAATCTTATGTATCATTGTAAATGGGCTATGTGGTCTGTAGGCATTTTTCCTCTGAAGACAGTTTCAAACTCAATTCTCTGAAATATTTCTTCTTCTTTTTCCAGGAAACTGTCTGAGATTATGTGAAAGAGAAGTTTTCCCTTCTCTCAGGCTAGCCAGAAAAGGAGATTTGAAGATGATGAGAGGATTTTGCACAAAACCACAGGAAAATTCAAAAGTACCATCTCAGACTTCAGGTAAAGTTGGATTAGGCAATGTAAGTAATGTAAATTTTGCTTTCCTGAGAACTGTTCACTCAGTACCATACAAACAAATCTAGGGCCTGCAGCAGTCTCCTGGCTAGTTTCTTTGTTTCTAATATTTTTCTCCTCAAACTCATCCTGCAATGCTACATTGAATCTAAAACACCACTTTACTCCTGTCAGCTCTCTCTCAGCAGTGTACAAGGTCTTCCTGACTACTGGAGCAATTATACCTCCTCAGCCTGACTGACGTTCAAGATCCTCTCAATCTTGCCTATTCGTATCTTCATTGTGATCAGTCCAGCCTTCTGCTTCTGTTCATGCTCTTCCTGTCACCTCTTTCAACCTCTTCACTAATTTAAGTCTTCACAACCCAAATCAAGATTTACCTTTTGAACAAAATTTAGTCCTTAGACTAAATATTTAAATTTGTGATCTGTACCTGTTTTCCCTCACTTAGACATATTCATTCTAACTCCCTGAAATCTATTTTTCCTATTTTACTGAAATTGTTTTCCCAGAGTCCTCTGAGGACTCCCAACAATCTTTTTCTCACTTCTTACTCTGACCTCTGTAGCATTTGATATAATTGAGCATTCCTTCTTTCTTGAAATTTTTTCCTGTCTTGACTTTTTATGGCATTAAATTAATCTAGCCCGCCTTCTATCTCCATCTCTGTTTTTCTTTCCTTTGCTGTCTTCTTTTCCTGTCCCCTAATTTGGGGTATTTTCTACAACTCAGTCCTTCATTTTGTTAAAAAAATTCCTTCAAAGAATTCATATTCTCTTATGACTTTAGCTGTTCCCCCAGCTATTCCAAAACTTTGCCTCCAAGCCCTGACTTCTCACAGCTCAAATTTTAAGACTCAACATATTCTTTAACTTCCATTTTTATATTTAATTTCAGTGAATTCATCTAAACACAAACATGATCTCCCATTATTTGAATTTCTTTCATCTTCTGAATTTCTGTAGCATTTATAGTAAGAACCATGTAATAACAATAACAGCTCACACACCACTCTGATGGGAGGAGGAGAAGTATATCATGGGAAGAGAGTGCTGCTGGTGGGTTCAGTTCCCACTTTGAGCACATTACTAGCTGTGAAACCCTGGGCAAATAATTTCTCAGAACCTCCAAGCAACTGAGACTAGAAATTGCCAAATAATAGCTGATCTGTACTGGTAGAGGGAGTCCTTTCACAGAGGTTTCCCTGTAACAATGAAATCTTAGGTCTGGCCCATATAGAGCTCTTAATCAATGCCTGTGCAACTGAATTGAATACTGTGCTACAGCATGAGGCATATTTGCTCCCAAACCTACACCATTGATTTCATCTTGAATGCCTCCCTCATCTTCTTTATCAGTCCAGATTTTTATCCATAATTGAAATTGCACCTCAGGTCCTACCACTTCCATGAAGTCTTCCATTACCATCCCAGCCTGTAGTGGTCTCTTGCTGTGAACTGCCTCACTCATCATCCAGCTCACTGCTTTGATCACAGGGGTTTTTTGGTGACATTGCTGTGTTTGTTTAACTTTTCACAAAGTTTGCATATATAGCTTGCCTTTCCAACTAGATTATGAGCTCCCTATAGAGAGCAGGGACCACGTCTTGTATTTCCCTGCATAGTGCCTCTTATGTAGTTGTGTATATAGTGGGAGACTATTAAATATTTGTTGAATGAATGAGTGTCTTCTATCAGGGATTTTTCTCTTATTCTAAATCTAATTTTTACAGTACAGTTTTCACCTCACTATAACACACCAGCTATACATCTTCTGAAAAGACATCAGAAACATTCAACAAGTATTAAGTGCCTGCTATGTGCCTTGCTGTGTGACAAAACGTATTATTCTATTCTGTACAGATCATTATGCCTTCATGTCAAGATGACCATAGACAATTCTCTTAGCCCTACCTGAAAAAAGACATAACAGAGATGGAGAAAAGCCATAGTAGAACAGTCAGATTATTCAGAGGGAGGAAGAAGCTATAGTATAAGGGCACAATAAAAATAAATATCTAATAAATATACAATAATAACTCTGGGGTCTGGCCTAAAAAAAGTATGATCAATGTAAAAACTCACGAAAGGGATAATCAAGTTTATTAAGGATTTGTTATTTAAATCCTGGAATATCAAGATACAGGGATGCCCCATCGAGGTAAGAACAGAATGAACTTAGGATATATAAAAGGAAATACTCTTAACACAACAGGTAGCAAACTTATAAAGGCTTTTTAATCACCAGAAGTAGTTCAGGCTAACAATAGAAATTGAAAGGTTTAGGTATTCCACAAAGATGCTAAAACCACAGTAAGTTATTAAAGGGACTATATCTATTTTTTTGTGGTTAATTCTTCAGAGGACAGTTCCCTTCCACAAAATATTCTTTAGTGTTTCTGTCAGAGAGGAAACTTAGGCCAGATGGAGCAGTGGATCTGATCTAATTAGCCACTCTTACTGAAGGTGCAGTGCTGTCCTTTCAAATTAAAGACCGTCATTTTTGTGGTAGGCTACTTTTAAAATTCTCCATATGATAGGTAAATTTTTGCATGCTTCTGGTAAGAGAGTTTCTCAGTTTAATGAGAATTGTGACTACATTACATCCTTTTTGTGTTTACTTCTAAATTCTGAAAGGGTCTGCTCATAAGGGTTGGCCTTTGTTCAACCTCATTAAGATAATACTTTGGTACTTCATAAGTACTTGTATGTTATTATATAATATTATATATGTTATTTGTGTGTGTTTGGTCCCCTTCCAGAATGTAAATTCCATAATGATAAGGATGTCTTATCTAAACTTCATATACCTCTAGCACCTAGCACCATGCTCTGAACATAATAGGTGCTTTATAAATGTTTGTTGGAGAAGTGACAAGTTTTCTGTTCCACTTTTTTGACAGAATCTGTGGATAAAGAAATCAGCAAATTTATTAGATGCTTGCCAAGTGTAAAGCATTACATCAAGTGTTAAGGTGGATATAGAGAAATGGTAGTACACCCGACCTTGGCCTTGAAGAGTTTACAGGCTAGTTGGGAAGATAACATGGAAACCCATGAAAAGTTAAATAGCAGTACAGATTTATGTAGCTGTTTGTTACTGAGATCCTTAATCTAACCTTGGGTTTATTTGCCATGATCTTGAGCGTCTGTTATTGCTCCCTTTCTGATACTGTCTCCCCCATGTATAATATATGTGTTTTGTTTGGTAATTAAGAAGGGAATGATTTCTTAGGAATTTCTTCCCAACCAAGGGTTAACGCTGGGGAGCTCAGTGTCCCTTCTAATTAATATTCGGTTTATATGTTTTAAAATAGGTAAGCATAACTAATATTATTGTTTGAGCATTTATCTGTCACCAGCTTTACTAAATTAGAGTCTTAAACTTGAATAATGTGAGATTTCTCACTTGTTTTTCCACAGATGTTTATAAATCTAGAGTGCCATTACATAAGCCCACTGCCTGGGAAAAGAAGTTAATCGTCTGGTCAGGCCGTTTCAAAAGAGAAGATGAAATCCCAGAGACGATCTCGTGAGTGCTGAACCCAGAATTGTAAAAAGGTGGTAGATAGACCTCGCAACCCCAACTCTATGTCAAGTGCTCCTTGGTATCCTCCACATGGTATCCTCCACATCAAAACTTGAATGCCTGCTAGTGTTAGTATGAGCTGACTGAAACAGAAGCACAGAGCCACTGGCCTCAAAAACTAAACCATGTTCTGAGGTATAGGTGTCTATAACCAAGTGCCTCATGAGTACTATAAAGACAGTGTCATGGTAGAATTGGAGTTCTGGTATTTTTACCTCCCTTTCTTCTATCAGTCTTCTCTGTCCTTTCTCTCCCCAATCTCTTATACTTATTCCTAGTGAGTTCTTATAATAACAATTCTCATTTATTTAGGACTTTACAGTTTACAAGGCACATTTCTCACAACAGCCCTTGTGAGACAAATAGGGCAAATATTATTTAGCCCATTTTACATATGAGGAAATGGAGGCTCAGTGAAATTATGATACACCATCAGGCCAGTTTCTTTAGCTTGCCAAAGATACCTAACTCTAGTCATTGAAGACATAGATGAATTATTTGGTTTGGTCAGAGGACTACTGGGAGTGAGGAGACCTGAATTCTAGCCTACTTATTCCACTCATTGGATGTATAATTTTGTGTAAGTCTCCTCCAGGCCCAGAGATGTGGTTTCTTTGTTTTTAAAACAAATATACCTTTCATGTATATGGCACTTCACATTTTTTGAGTGTATTTTTACATTATCTAATCTGACTCTCATAACTCTGAAGTAAGTAAAGGAAATATTATTTTCATTTTATAGACAAAACAGGGTCACAGAGCTTTACTAACTTTCTAGTCAGATGGGATTTTAGACTCCAAGTTTCAGGGCTTTTTCTGTGAGAGTGCCTTTCATCAGAACCATAGGAATGTCCCTGGCTCATCTCTAGGAGATCACTGTCTTGTTTGCCTACAGTGGTTCTGGCTTTGCTGGCATCCCCTTTCCTCTTACTCATGTGCTTCAAGCTAGCTTTTTGTGAAGTTCTAGGGTAGAAGAAGTCACCGTTGTTCCTAATGGTATTCTTAATGATTATTCAGTTTGGTGCATATATTGGGTTTGTTGGATATGTGGGAGCTGGCTAGTCAGCCTACTTTCAGGCAGCTGTCTTGACTGGGAAACATTAAATTTTTTAACTTTCATAAAGCCTAATACAGTTCTGAGCAGGTAGAAAATATTTGCTAAATATATGTCAATTTGCAGTCTCTGTTTTATAAAATAATACAGCTGTATTGATTAGGGAATGGCTAAATAAATTGAGTTACATAAACATAGTATATAGTATAAGAAACAAATGTGATTATTTATAATGGGCATAAGCTAAAAGCCTTCCCAGTAATATCAGTGGTGAAACAAGGATGCCTAATATCACCACTATTATTCAGTATTGTACTACAAATGTTAGTTTTAGCAATAAGAGAAGAAGAAATTGAAGGAATTAGATTAGGCAATGAAAAAACAAAACACTATCACTCTTTGCAGATGATATGATACTAAGAGAATCCTAGAGAATCAACTAAAAAACTACTCTTAATAATTAACAACTTTAGCAAAGTTGCAGGATATAAGATAAACCCACATAAGTCATCAGCATTTCTGTATATTACCAACAAAGCCCAGCAGCAAGACATAGAAGAGGAAATTTCATTTAAAGTAACTGTAGACAATATAAAATATTTGGGAGTCTACCTGCTAAGACAAACCCAGGAACACAACTACAAAACACTTTTCACACAAATGAAGTCAGATCTAAACAACTGGAAAAGTATCAATTGCTCATGGGTAGGCTGAGCTAATACCTAAATTAATTTACTCATCCAGTGCCATACCAATCAAACTCAAAAATTATTTTGTAGAGCTAGAAAAAATAATAATAAAATTCATCTGGAAGGACAAAAGGTCAAGAATATCAAGGGACGGGCAGCTAGGTGGAGCAGTGGATAGAGCACCATCCCTGGAGTCAGAAGATCCTGAGTTCAAATCCAGCCTCAGACACATAATACTTAACACATAATAATGACTCTGGGCAAGTCACTTAACCCCAATTGCCTCATCAAAAAAAAAAAAAAGAATATCAAGGGAATTAATGAAAAAAAAATGCAAAGGAAGGTAGCCTAGCCATACCAGATCTAAAACTATATTATAAAGTGGCAATCATTAAAACCATTTGGTACTGGCTAAGAAATAGAGTGGTGGATCAGTGGAATAGGTTAGGTGCACAAGACACTGTAGTCAATGACTATAGTAATCTACTGTTTAATAAATCCAAAGACTCCAGCTTCTGGGATGAGAACTCACTATCTGACAAAAACTGTTAGAAAAACTGGAAAACAGTATGGCAGAAACGAGGCATGGACCATAACAAGATAAGGTCAAAATGGGTACGTAATTTAGACAAAAAAGGTGATAGCATAAGCAAATTAAGAGAGCAAGGAATATTTTACCTGTGAGATCTATGGAGAAGGGAAGAATTTATGACCAAACAAGAGATAGATTACATTATGAAATGCAAAATGGATATTTTTGATTACATTAAAAAGGTTTTGCACAAACAAAACCAACATAACCAAGATTAGAAAGAAAGTGGAAAGATGGAAAACAATTTCTACAGCTGGTGTCTCTGATAAAGGCCTCATTTCCAAAATATATAGAGAACTGAGTCAAATTTATAAGAATACAAGTCATTCCCCAATTGATTACTGGTCAAAGGACACGAACAGGTAGTTTTCAGATGAACAAATTAAAGTTACCTATAGTCATATAAAAAAAATTCTTAATCACTATTGATTAAAGAAATGCAAATTAAAACAACTCTGAGGTACCACTAACACCTATCAGATTGGCTGATATGACAGAAAAAGCAAATGATAAATGTTGGAGAACATGTGGGAAAATTGGGACACTAATGCATTGTTGGTGGAGTTGTGAACTGATCCAACCATTCTGGAGAGCGATTTGGTACTATATCCAAAGGGCAATCAAACTCTGCATACTCTCTGATCCAGCAATACCACTACTAGGTCTGTATCCCAGAGAGATCATAAAAAAGGAAAAAAGACCCACATGTACAAAAATATGTATAGTAGTTCTTTTTGTGGTAAAGAATTAGAAATTGAGGAGATGCCCATCAGTTGTGGAATGGCTTAACAAGTTGTGGTATATGAATGTAATGGAGTACTATTGTGCTGTAAGAAATGATGAGCAGGTAGATTCCAGAAAAACCTGGAAAGACTTAAATGATACTTAGTGAAGTGAGCAGAACCAGGAGAACATTGTACACAGTAACAGCAACATTGTGGGATAATCAACTTTGATAGACTTAACTCTTCTCAGCAAGCAATGATCCAAGACAATTCCAAAACAATCATGATGGAAAATGCTATCTGCATCCAGAGAAAGAACTATAGAGTCTGAATGCAAATCAGAGCATACTATTTTCACTTTTTTTATTTGTGCCTTTTCCCTTTTGCTCTGTTTGTTCTTTTACAACATGACTAATGTGGAAAATTTTTACATGATTGCACATATATAACCTATATCAGATTACTGGCTGTCTTGGGGAGGAGGGATGGGAAGGGAAGGAGGGAGAAAACATTTGGAACTTAAAATCTTATAAAAAATGAGTGTTGAAAACTATCTTTACATGTAATTGGAAAAAATAAAATACTATTTATGAGAAAAGAAAATAAGAAGTCAGAGAATAGGGGAAGATTTTTTTCAAATAATTCAAAAATAAAGTAAGCAAAGTTGACTACAGCAGTGAGATACAGAAATGATACAATGAGAAAAAGATACAGTTAAACTGAATTGTGTAATTGTATTGACTAGGCTTTGCCCAGAGAAGAGCTGAGAAAATGTTCTTCCCAGCTTTCATTGAAATGTGGGTAACTGTGAGTATTGAGCATTACATATTCTGTCAGACCAGATCAATGTTTCATATTGATTTTACTGAGCCTTTTTAAAAAAAAAAAAATCTTTGGCCCAAGGGCAGGCTTACTGGGTTGTGGCTAGGAGGAAAGATATACTTAGAAATGGATGTTATTTAAGAACTAAACCATCAATAAAACAGAAGCAAAAAAAAAAAAAACCAACAGAAAACAACCAACAAAACCTGAATTAAATGAGGGCATTTCACTGTATCAGATTTTTTAAAAACTTTTTTGTGTCCCATGGTAGCTTGGTAAAACCTGTGGACCCCTTCTCTGAATAATGTTTTTTAAATGTATAAAATACATAAGATCATAAAAGAAACCAAAGGTTCATGAAAATAAAGATAGTTTTTTTTTCCCATCCAAGTTTACAGACTCTCCAGAAATCTATCCATAAATCCTTTGAAGGACTGTATATACCCTTGGTTAAGAGCCCCTGGACTGAGTCATTTAGAAAGTCCCTTTCAGTTCTAAATGCTCCAGTCCTGTGATTCATTCATAAACAGAGTGGGCTCAGCCCTTAGGGTTTCCTAATGTCCTTTGCTTAGATTGTAACGTTCTCTAAGAGTATATGTTTTAAATATACCCTTTATGTGGGTAGATACCAAATGCAGTCATAAAATAGAGTTGACCAGCAAAAAGTCTTAGTATCTCTGTTTGACATTCCCTAATCCTTCTTTCAAGTGACCAGGTTCACCTGCCAGAACCTATTCCCTAAATAATTTTTTCAGCTCCTTTTTCTGTTTTGGCCAGTTAACTGACCTCTGCTGCGTGGTGATGCCAAAGTCGGTGCCATGTGTGATATATAACACATTACTTTTTGCTAGAAAATTAGTGCATCCATCTCTTTGAATCTTGTTTATTTCTCAAATGTGATGGAAGAAAATAAGATGTTTTTCCTCCATTGGAACACATCTTGTGACCAACATAGAGGCACTAGTAAACTGATCCATTGTCACAGCTACTGATTCTTGTTTCTCGAAGAAAGAGCCCTGAGCATTGCTAAAAATATTTCGACACTGTCTGAAATATTCACTTTTAGGCAACTGGTACTCTCCAGACTTGGGAACATCATCTGTGCTTGCTCCAGGCTGTATCCCTAGCTTGCTTGGAAAAGAGAAAAGTTAATTAACTGTCAGGGACCATGCTTCTTCTTTCTTCTTTAAAAAAAATTTTTTTTTTCAAGAGCTTTTTTTTTTTAATTTGCATTCTAATTCTCTCCCTCATCTAGACCCTCTCCTATCAACTGAGAAGGCAGGCAATATGATAACCATTATATAAGTGAAATCAGGCAAAACATATTTCCATATTAGCTATATCACCCAAAAAAAGCAAGAAAAATAAAGTGAGAAAATTACACTTCAGTTTGAACGCAGAGTTTATCAGTTCTCTTTGGAAATGGATAGCAGTTTTCATCATGAATCCTTCTAAATTGTCTTAGATCACTGTATTGATCAGAGTGGCTAAGTCTTTCATAGTCGATCGTCATTACAATAGTGCAATATCCAATGATGTCCTGGTTCTGTTCATTTTGCTTTGCATCTGTTCATATAGGTCTTCTTAGGTTTTTCCTGAAACCATCCCCCTTGTCATTTCTTACAGCATAGTAATGTTCCATAACAATGATAAGCCACAATTTGTTCAGCTGTTCCCCAGTTGATTAACATCACCTCAGTGTCCAATTCTTTGCCACCACAGAAAGAGCTGCTATAAATATTTTTGTACATATAGGTTCTTTTACTTTGAGCTTTTTGGGATATAGACCTAGAAGTGGTATTGCTGGTTCAAAGGGCATGCACAGTTTTATAGCCTTTTGGGCATAGTTCCAAATTGCTTTCCAGAATGGCTTCACCAGTTCACATCTCCACCCAGCAATTCACATTTGTTTTAATTTGTATTTCTCTAATCAATAGTGATTTAGAATATTTTTTATGACTATAGGTAGCTTTGATTTCTTCTGAAAACTGCCTCCTTATGTCCCTTGACCATTTATCAATTGGGGAATAGCTCTTATTGTTATAAATTTGACCCAATTCCCTACATATTTGAGAAATGAGGCCTTTATCAGAGAAATTTGCCATAAAAATTTTTGATATTACTTCATTGTTTATGGTATCTTAGCAAAATGTAGTTTCTCTCATTATCTCTTTTAATTTGGTTTATTTTTGCTTTTGCTTTGTTTGAAATCATGATTGCTGTCCTTGCCTTTTTTACTTTGGCTGAAGCATAAACGATTTTGTTCCAGTCTCTTATTTTAACTCTCTGTGTGTGTGTGTGTGTGTGTGTGTGTGTGTGTGTGTGTGTGTGTGCGTGTGTGTGCGTGTGTGTGCAGAACACATTCTGTTTCAGATGTTTCTCGTAACCACATATTATTGTACTCTGGTTTCAAATGTTTCTCGTAAACAGCATATTATTGTACTCTGGTTTCTAATCCATTCTGCTATCTATTTTCATTTTATGGTTGAGTTCATCCTAGTTACATTCATAGTTATGATTACTGTGTATTTCTCTCCATCCTACTTTCTTTTGTTTATCCTTTTTTCTTTCTCTGTCTGTCTCTGTTTCTTTCACCCTGAGGGAAAATAACTTCTCTGGATAAACCATCTTATAGATCAATACCTGTCATTTTGGACCAGTTAAGCAGATTATTCCAGATGATAGCCAGATCTCATTGATCTAAACCAGCTGTCAAGGTAGTTGCTCATCTAATGGGAAGACTAATGGACTCCTGAAGACCTGGGCTTCAGTGTTGGCCCTGACACTTAAACTGGCCAAGGAACAATAGTCACTTAGCCTTATTGAAGCTCAGCTTCCTCATCTATAAAATGAGGGAAATAATGCCTGTACCACTTACCTTACAAGGAGGTTGCAGGATCAAATGAGATAATGTATGTAAAGAACTTTGTAAACATAAGTGTTTCCTTTTAGACTTTGAGATCATACTGTATTTTTTTGTATTGTGTGTGGAGTTTTATTGAAATGTCCTACTTTCTCTAAATTATTTTTGATACTTCTCCTATGACAGCCAGGATATCATGGCATAGAGCTGGCTGGAAGATGTGCATTGGTCCCAGGGGGTGCTAGGGTAGAGGTTGCTTGTGTGCTTGCTGACAGATAACTGGCCACAGACTTGCCCTTCTGCATAAATCTGGAATCAGTGGACACAAATCCATATATACGCAAGTCCAAAATATAAACACATGCCACCTTGGAAAAATAAACTATGGATTAAAGAGATTTCTCTTTGTTTTGCTATTAATATTTCTATATAGACACTGCTTGTTCTGCTTATTCATATAACTGGAAAATAAATGGAGGTCCTTTAACCTTATTCTCTTTATTGGAATTCTTTTTTAAAAGCAGATTATAAATGTAACTCAACTTTTTTATGCTCCCCACAATGTCAGAGATGTCACTTTGTAGAAGAGAAAGCCAGGAAAAACATGATAGCTGCTTTCAGATGTTTGAAGGGATGTCATGTGGGTGAGGAAATAATTATTTCTCAAAAAAGTATTCCACCATTAGTGGAAGATTTCATTTTAATAGGGGGAAGAGCTTTCTAGCTATAAGAGCAGTCCAAAAATGGAATGGGCTGCTTTGTAAGGTAGTGAACTCCCTGCCATTGGAGGTATCCAAATAGAGACTGAGAAACTGCTTACCAGAAATGTGGTACAAGTCATTTGTTTGTAGGAAGGGGGTTGGATTATATGCTCCTAAGATCTCTTCCAACTCTAGATGCCATGATTAGTCTACTTAAGTCGGAACAGTCTTTTCTGTTGAAATACCAACTAGAAGTTTTATGGAGGTAGACTTTAAAAGGAAAGTCAGTGTTGATGGACCAAATGCTGGATGAGGAGTCAGAGGACTTGGCTTCAGTTCCCTCTTCTTTTACTTCATGTGTGACCTTACTAAAATAGGTTTCTGACAGCTCTCCAGAAATGGAATAGAGTGCTTTGTAAAACAGCAAGTTCTTCCTTTATTGGAGCTGTTGGAGGAGAGGCTGCATAGCCAGCCAGCAGGGATGCTGTAGAAAGTGTTTGTGTGTTAAGTAAGAGTTGGGGCAGTAGGTCTCTTTTAGCTCTGAGGTTTCTAAGATTCTCTGATATAAAATGGCCTACGTGTTGCCTGGTTCTTACACAAATTGAATTATCTGGTCTTATTTTGTTAGGTTTGAAATGCTTGATGCTGCCAAGAACAGGGTCCGGGTCAAGATCAGCTACATCATGATTGCCCTGACTATAATGGGATGCATACTTATGGTTTTTCAGGGAAAACAGGTAAGTGTAGATTTTCCCTCTGCATCTTATTTTCTATGATGACTTGTGGAATATACATTGATCTGTCTTGTAATAGCCACATAAAGATGACTCTATTTTCCATCAGCCAGAGTTCTAACCCCCAGTAGGATTTGGACATTGGAGAGGTTCAAGGGCTAGAGTTTATGCTCTTCTTGTTCCTTCTTCATTCCTGAATGTGCTAAGCAACATCTGGTGGTCCAGACCTCCCCAAGGGTACCAACACGTGTGCATCTCCATTCACCTAACTTTTCTTAACTTTGGAGATGAGAAATGAGTATGCCAAGAAGTAGGTGGGACTATAGTTAACAAAACAAAAACTGATTCAATTTGCTGTTCTTTATGACTCATTTCTGCTCACCATGGGAGAGAAGTGCAGTGCTGTTCTTTGGCAATTTAGAGCTATGAGCTTATTCTACTCATAGGATTTTGTACCAGAGGTATTTAGATAATCATCTCAGAGTTTCTCAAACTGTTCCATGTAACCTTGTTCGTTCCCAGGGGTTCTATAACAAGATTGTTCGTGATAATTTCCCTTCTAAAGAAGTCCTCAAAATGTGGTCCATGGATCCCTGAAGATCCTTGAGACCCTTTCAGGGGGTCCAAGAGGTCAAAACTATTTTCATAACAATACTTAGATGTTATTTGCCTAGTGAAATATTCATTTCCCAATTTACTTGTCTGTATGGGGCTGGAATTTCTTTATGTACTTCAATCAAAACAATATATCACAAAAGATTGAATGCTAAAGCAGATAGGAGAATCTGGCTATCTTTTATTGTCAGACACTAATGAGATTTGCAGAAATATGTAAAACAGTAACATTCTTCTCTCTAAATTTTTTTGTTTTGGAAAATACTGTTTTTCAGAAAAATATATTATTTATGTTAACATAAGGGAGTTATTAATGTTTTAAAATTAATAAATACTCTTTAAAATTTACCAGTTTTAATTTCTAATCATAAATATTAAGAGATATAACCCACATAAACAAAAGCTATTTGGGATCCTCAGTAATTTTAAAAGTGTGAAAGGGGTGGGTCCTGAGTCCAAAAAGTTTGAGAACTACTGTTCTAACCTATTGACTTAAATTATATATTTACATTAGTATGTGTGTGTATATATATACCATATATATAATGATTTTTCATCATGAAACTATGTTAATTGCCATTTTTCTCTAAAATTTCCATAATCATTAATGTTCCCATACATCCTCCACATCAGCATTTATACTGTTGTTTAATGTATTTCAATACTCAAAGTGTTCCATGGCCAAATTACTTTGGGAAATTCACTGGTATAGTCCAATTCATTTTTCTCTTTGGCTGGATGCTTTATTTTTCCAATTTGACCTAATATAGAAGATAAGTATTTTGTAGACTTTAAAGGAGAGCTATTATTAACATTTCATCACTTAAAGGAGGTACTCAAAATCCTTAAGGAGGCGCTTTCAGTTGAACACATGTAAAGTTTTGTTACTTTAGGATTAAAGAGTCTTTTTTCTTTTTCTTATTTGTATCCCCAGTGCTTTACATACTTCCTGGCGCATAATAGGAGCTTAATAAATGTTTATTATATTGTAAGAGGTTTTTTTTTAAATGTGATAGATCCTAATGTTGCTTCCCTAAATGTTGTAAATTCCAGTATGCAAAGGTACATGTTAGGTTCCTTTACCAGTTAGGTCTTTCTTGTTTGCCCTGTTCTCTTCTCTTTGGGATAGAACAAAGGAGCCAGAAGCAGCCTACTCTATAAGGTTCTTCATTATAGTTATAATTTTCTATGGGATAGAACAAAGGAGCCAGAAGCAGCCTACTCTATAAGGTTCTTCATTATAGTTATAATTTTCTATCATTTGCAAGAATTGTTGAAAGAATAACACAGAACATTTGAAAAATGACAGCAACTTCAAGTATCGTTAAATTAACTCAGCTTTCATCACCTCTGTCAAGAAATTCCAAGTTTGTTTAGTTTGACTTTCTGAATAATTTAACTTCATTCAGGAAAAAAAATAACCTGATCAGCTTTAAACTCTAACCCATTTCAATACCTCCAGGTTCTTTCCTGATTGGTATTTATGTGGTATTTATGTGCATTGAGGTTTTTACTGGGCAGCTAGGTGGCACAGTAGATGGAGTGGATAGGGGCCTGGAGTCAGGAAGACTTATCTTCCTGAGTTCAAATCTGACCTCAGACACATACTAGCTGAGTGACCCTAGAAAAGTCACTTAACCCTGTTTGCCTCAGTTTTCTCTTCTGTAAAATGAGCTGGAGAAATAAATGGCTTTTACTGAGTTGTCAGTGTGTTTCGTTTTTTTTAATATAACACTTCCGATATGTACTTCCATGTATCCCTAAAGTCCACATACTTGCCTTTTTTAGAAGTCCTAAGTTGTTCTGTTGTGTTCATTGAACATGGCCTTTCCCCGAATGTAGTCTATTTGGGATACTTTCAGTTTTTCACTATTATAAATAGCACTTGCTGTGAATATCTTGATTTAGAATACTTACCCATATTTTTGGTTTTCTTTTGGCATTTTCCCAAAATCACAAAATAAAAAATCATTATGAGTTTTGTGGTCCTTAAAACAGATCGCTAAATTGCTTTTCAGAAAGACTCCAAACATTTTACAGTCCTACCAAAACAGTGTTTAAGTGGCCCATTTATCCCCATGGTTCTGTCATTGCTTTGAACTTTTCGAAGCAATTTTCCCTCAGCAGTATTTTTAGAAACCAGGACTTTTGTGTCTTCAGTCATAATAATTCTTAAATATTTAGGAATCTATTATTTCACCAGTATGGGTATTCCCTCTACCAACAAATATTATAACCTTTCTGTAACTTAGTAAGTGGTCTTTAAGTGTTATGTCCAAAAAATTCATCACCCTGCCAATAGTTCATTGATAAGCTCCTCCAACTTTAGGTAAACTAGACCTTGGACATGTTTCTCCACGTATCAATGATTCTCTGGCCTCTGTTGCCTGAATGCCAGTTATGTTATATTTTGCCCTTCTCCTAGGGCTCTCTGGTACCTTTAAGAGGGTTAGGGAGGGTCTAGATTCTGCCTCTGGCTCAAGCTCCCACTAATTGTGTTCCCTCAGTTGTAGAGGTCTAAGCATCCTAGTTTCATTTAAGTCAGATCAGCTTTTACAAAGAAGCATTTACTTCAGAGGTACAGCAAGAACAAACATCTCCCCTCCAGCATCAGGGGAAATGATCCCTCCCTATGTTCTCTGAGTCTTTTCAGGGGTGGGGTTAGTTTCACAGCTTAACTCAATTCCTGTACAGTGTTGTTCAACCAGGTTCCAAGTCTAAAGCCCTCCTGGGCTCGCACTCAGGGCTTCTCAGGGTTTCCCTGCTGGGCAGGCATCAACATTTGGCCTGAAATCCTGCCTCTAAGGTCAACCTCCTGGGTTGTGAAGATCTAAGATTTTAAGAGGATCTGAAAAGGACAACCTAAACAAACCAAGACTCTAGACCTTTTTTGAGGGGCCACAAGGCCTAATAGGTGGGGTGTAGGGTAGGGAGGTGGCCTTTCCCTCTACCCAACTTTGTGCATTGTGCCTGTGCTTGTGAGTGAATAAGATCTTCATCCATGGACACCACTGGCAAGAGAGTACATGGCAATTCAGCTTGTCTAGGCTACACGGTCAATGGAATGAGGCTGTTCCCACCCACTATATAAGTTGTCTTCTCCCAGAAGTAGGTTCCTGGCATCTCCCACAAGGGTGCTTCCATTTTAGGTAATGTGGGCATACAGCAAAGCTAAATTACACACATAACAGAAATTTATTTGAGGAGAGCAGGGAAAGAACAAGAAATAGAAGTGTTTCCCTCTGAAAAATTAGGGGAAAATATTCTAAGAAACAGTGGAAAATGCCGTTCAAGGGAGCAGATTTTAAAATGATAGGTTTAAAGGGGATTGATCAGGAACGTCACCCAGTCAATTTAATGAGCTTACAGGGCTTCAGTTATTTGTTTGGGTTATCAGATTAGCACTTCCCCAATACCTCCTGGTGGCTTAAGAGGTCATGTGGTGATTTCTGATTAAGTTTTGGTGACTTGAACAGTCCACAATGTGATTGTTTGGCTGGGACTCTTAATTTTATCCTATAGAAAATGCCGAAGATAAAAAGACTTTTTGCCTTTTAGGAGAAATCCAGCTCATAGGGAGCACTGTGAGTTTGGAAAGTATTATGTAGGAACCTGTTGGAGAGGTAGGGCTTCATTAAAATGTCAGGATGTTGTCCCATTAGTTTCTTCCAAAGGAAACTATCTTGAGTGCTTCATGTGTTTTCGGTATTTGTGTATAGGTTTCTATGAGTTCTGTGCATGTTGGGTGGGGAGAGAGTGTGTAAAATAAAGAGAAACGCTCCCTCTATGCTGGTGTGGAAGAAAGCAGCAGACTGGTATAGACTGGTACTGTTGTAAGCCACACAAAAGCTTCATAGCACCCCATAGCTTCAAAGAGTCTAGCCAAGGGCTCAGATTCTTAAGATCTGGCCTGCTTGCATTAGCAATACAAATGCTTAGATTCCTTAAGAGTCTGGCCAATATGGCAGATTCTTTAAATCTCATCCACCCCCCAATCACCGTTCTAATAAACCTTGTCTTTGGCTGAAAGACTTGGTTTGATGTGTTGTGATTTTGGGGTCCCAGCACTCTAAACCTTTAATCCTCAACATTTTGGTGGCCCGTACGGGGAAGCTGCCTAACTCTAAGCTCTTGTCTAGCCAAGACTGGAAGGCATGTAAACCTCTCCCCTCTTTCTTGCCCTGCTGTTGGGGTCACTCTCCAAGCACATAGGAAGGCCTAGAGGTACTTTTCGGGCAGACATTTGCTAGGTTGTCTCGCACTTGACCTGACACTCGCAGGCTCTCAGTCCACTAGTTCAGTTTGAGGCAGACCTGGGTATACCTTCTGCAGCATAGAGGACAAGGATGGACTCCCTATCTGGAAGCATACGCCCAATTCTGTCAGTTCAGGAAAACTGAAGGTGCTTTTTTTGTTCCCTGAGGCTTACTTACTTCCTTCCCTCTACATCCCTGAATCCTCCTTCAAGGAGGCTACAGGGAAAAGTTAGAACAGCTAAAAACATCTTAGCAGATTTTGGAGGTTTTATGATCGATCATTAAGGAATTTTGAAACACCTCCTTCTAACCCTGGTCACTCCCTTCCCTTGAGTCAAGAGGGAATCTTTGTTAACTCCTCTCATAGGAGAAGAGAGTTTCCCCCTTCCCCCCTCACCTTCCAATTGTTAGTGAGTGGGGGGTCTCCATTTTCTGTATCTCTTTGCTGCTGACCCTGGGAGAATATGTATGTCAGAAGACACCACCACCAATATTTTGGTGAACAAGTCTGATGGCAGGATGCAAGCTGGGACCTTAGGTATCAACAAGAGGAAAATGGGAAGGTGGTGGGGGTAGTGCCAGGGGGAAGTTAGGAATTGTCCGTTGACTTGTCAGTTGAGAAACTGGCATCTGTAATAAGAACGAAGTTGAGGAGAGAAAGACAAAAAAGAGCAGAAGAAATAACTGGAGAAGAGAGAAGAAATGACTGAGGATTCAGAGGAAGAAGGACAGTGAGAATGCTCTGTTATGCCTGGGTGGATTAGCCAGTGGCTTTAGGATCCATTTGGACAAAGTAGAAAAAAATGTGAAGGGGAATGGCTTGGGTGAAGTGTTTAGGTGGGATTGGTCACTGGTATGGAGTAATTATGAGGCCTTTTGTTTTGTTTCCCTGTAGGCTGCCAAAAGACATGAGACCCTGACGAGCCTGAACTTAGAAAAGAAAGCTCGTTTGAGAAAGGAAGCAGAAGAAGCCCTGGAGTCCAAAACTGAGTAGAGTTACAAACATGAAGTGGCTAGATGGGTATTTAAAACTCAGCAAGAGCAGTGTGGCAGGCACATGCCTCCCTGGCAGAGGATGTGTTGTGGGGAAACTATTGCATAGAAGTGTGACTTGTACCAATGCCCTTTTGCTGTGTTGTGTAGTGGCATCAATAAACTATCTCAACAGAACACCTTATCTAGTTTTTCACAACTGATCAGAGTGTGAATCAAACACAGCTCTTGGCCATTTGAAAAACCAGAACAATAAAAGTGGTGTAATTTAGCTCAAATACTCAATTGTTCAGAGTTCTGGAAGATTTCTCATTTATTTCCACACTGTTAAAGTGTTTTGTTCAAGGGCACAGGTATTATTTTTCTTTCACATCCCATAAAAATATTTTATTACATTTTTAATGAAAAATCTCTGTGTAGCCCACTCTATTTACCACTTTTCTAGGTTCTCAACAACACAGCCCAGAGAGAGCTAGATGAGGACCAGCTGAGGGTCTTGTCCTAAAAGTAATGATAAAAATATTTCACAACTCAGCTTTTTTGTACAGTCAGAACAGGAGTCAGGCTTGCAACCTAAGCACAAGATGTGGTATCTGCTTTATACCCAAGCTGCTTGAGGAGCCTCAAAGTTATAGAATAGTGAGGAGTAGGCCAGCAGGAAAGGCAGGGCCTCAGTCCTGTGATGATGGGACTCCCGGATTTGTAGAGAGGTTTAGTTGTCAGTGACCAACTCGCTCATCATCGTCCTTCGGGAAGTCTGCCACAGAGACAGCTGTGTACCTTCATTTTCCTAGTATGGGAGCTCGCTCGGTTACTTCCTGAGTACGGAAGGACATAGCTAGTGGATAGGCCCCAAAGAAAGAATGGCTGAAACCAAGCCTTCTCTCCATTGGTGAGCTGCGGCTGATTCCCCACTACTCTGTAATTTCCAGGACCATCAAACAGCTTGGGTACAAGGCACATACCACTTCTGAGGCTTAAGTTGCATGCCTGATTCTTACCTGTTTCCTTGTGCAAAAAAAAATCAGTGGTGAAATGTTTTCATGATTACCTTCTGGTTTAAATCAATGGATTAACAGAAGTTTTTGCACTCTTTCACCCACATAGAATTTCACTTAAGGTACAATTATCTTTTAAACATAGATACGTATGATTTCTGTTTTGAACATTTGTTATTTATTCTCACATCCTAAATATTAATGGGAGGATAACTTTTAATCGTCACCCTGACACTCAATTTTTCCTCACAAAGATTAAAACTGAAACCATAATTATTTTGTATTACTGTTTTAGAACTGAGATATTTAGTTAAGATTACACATGATACATCAATAGCATCACAGATGCATGTTTTTTTCCATTGAGTCTTGTTTATTTTTTTTTTTAATGTAATTTGACTTTGATATTTTGCTATACTACATATGAAAACTATTTTACCTTTGGCACTCAAGTTTTACTGGCACTACTTATATATATTTATAGATTAGAATGTTGCTGTCTTAAAAGATAAGAAAATATTTCTTGATAGAAGGCTACCATTTAAAGTTCTTGAATCACATATCTTTACCTGGACAATACATCTCTTGAAATAAATTTATTCTTTAAATTAAAGTTCACAAGATGGCATTTTTTGGTTTTGTGTCTGTTATACATCACCTCCTCTCTAATAGTAAGGTGGAGTAACTTGTAATCAAAGAATGTAAAGATTCTGATAGGTTTATTCTGTTGTTTGATGCAGCAGGCCTGAGGAAGACTTTCGTCTCATAGGCCCTAGAACCCACCCATTCTCCTTATAGGCAGAACTCCTTTTTTTATATCTCGTCTCCATCCCTGGTGCCACCTATGTTCCAGCATGATGTGGACTATTCCCAAAATGTTCTTCTCGTGACCAGTTGCTTTTGCACGATATGACATTCCCCTTGTCAAAAACCTGTAGTGTCCACTTGTTCTGTTAAATCTAAATTTGGCCTACCATTCATGTCAATTCGCTCTAGCCGCCTCCACTCCCACTAATCCAAACACATCATTCCTGGTATTATTTTAGTAAACTACTTTCTGTATATCTTGTATCTATTGACTGTGTTCACCTCTTTTTTCTTTATATATCTCACAGTGTTTTCTAGACTTTTAAACATTTATTAAGTACTTACTATTCCAGTCACTGTGTTAGGTGCTAGAAATACAAAGAAATGTTGCTCCTGCTCTCAAGAAGGTAACATTCTAACAAGAAAGAGAGGTTAAAAAAAAACCAACTCATAATATATTACAGAATATGTGAAAGATAGTCCCAGAGAAGAAGTCAGTAGTAGCTGGGACAGAGTGGGCAGGGCCAGAAAAGGTTTCCTGCAGAAGGTTAGTTGAGCCACGTCTTGAAGGAGGCAGGGAAATGTAACCATTGGAAGCAAGGAGCCAAAGCATTCAAGGCATAGGGGATAGCCAGTGCAAAGGCAGAAATAGGAGAGAGAAATGTTTTGCTTAAGGGACTGCCGGGTCAGTGTAGCAGGAATATAGATTGTGTTTAGGAGAGTAAAATGTAAGAAAACTGGAAAGTGGTGAGGAACTTTAAATGTGTAATAGAAGACTTGTGGGTTATGTGACCAACACAGTGGAGCACTAGACATTTTCTCAGATAACCTCTTAAACTTCCAAAGTAGGAGTTATCTGCAAGAGATAAAACAGTCTTCACAGCCTCTAGGGTTTGACAGTGGTGTCAGATAGAAATGGGGGCCACTAAACCATTTATAAGGATCCCTGCAGGCCACACATTGACTTAGAAAACTATACATTAATGTTAATGTTCTATTGTATTTTTTCATTTTGTTAAATACTTCCCAGTTACATTCTAATTTAGTCTGCGTTGCATGTGGGGACTGTTGTGATCATGTTTTTAATGCCTCTGGTCTAAGACACTAAGAAACTTAATGAGGTAACAATCCTATGAACCAACAGTAGACGGCTGGTCTCTAATATGATCCCTCAGCAACAATTTTGCCAACCTACTGCCAGGGCTGAACAAGCTGATTTATGAGCTTGAAACAGAGTTCATCTTGAATCCAGAGTGGCAAACATCACCAAAGAAACGAAAGAGAATAAGTGACTAGGAATGCAAATACTCGGAAGTTAAGAATAGTCAGGAGGAAGAAAAGCAATGTTTAAAAAAAAACATGAATCATTAGACAAGCAAGACATTGATTTCAAAAAGCAGACTGCTTAGTGACAACTTAAGGATTATGTGTGTCTTAAAACAATACACCAAAAGTCAGAACACAAGAATACAAGAAAACTACCCAGAATTTCTGAACACAGAAAATAAAATGCCAATCCAAAAACTCCACATATTGCCTCCAGAAAAAAAAAAGCCTATGCTGCAAACTCCACTACACATAGTACTTAAATTTAACAATTCTAGTGATAAATTCTGTAAGTGATCAGGAGAAAGATTAAGTGGAAAGGAAAGGAAATTCGAATAACAAGACTGTTTTGCACCTACCAGAAAATCATAGGAGGGAAGGAAATGTGTTCTGAAGAGCAATGTGACATCGCAACCTTAAGTGACATACTTTGAAAATCTGAACCTAACCATGAATGACAGAAGATGAACATTCAGTAACAACAAAAAAAAAGTATTTGAAACATTCCAAAAAAGAAACAAACCAAAAAGAAAACCCCCAGGCAACAAAATTATAAGAAAAGTAAACATACATAGCAACCAAGAAAAGCAGAGTTAATGAAAGGAATTCTACTAGAAAAAAAGGAGGGAGACTAAAAAGACAGACACATATAAGGTTAACAAAATAACAATAGATATTTCTTTCTAAAAGTAGACAAGGGGACATGGGTGAAAGCAGAAGGCAAATAGCAAAAGTGATGGAGGAAAAAGTCTGAAACATGAAGTAAATAACACTGCCTACAGGTGAATTAATATTTTTTTTTTTGTGGGACTAAATTGCAGAATAAGCGGATAGATAAAAAGGGAGAAGGGAAGAAGGCAGATGGGAATATGTGATATACACTAATCAAGTCAAAGGTGAACAATGAAGGAAACATAACTTCTCTAGTTTTTCTGGAAGAAGATGGCCTACAAGAGAATAGGTGAGGGAACAAAAGGAGGGATTGAAATAGGGAAAGGAAGTTATTTCACTTCAGTGGAAGTCAGTCCCACTGAACAATTTTCCCACTGAAGAATATTCTATAATGGAAAGATGAGAACTTTGCAGTGTGTATAACTGCAGGGATTTGGTGCTGAGAGGGACCACTTATCCTGCCTCAGGAAGAGGAATTAGCTTCTGGAGGTAACTGATACCCAGAAGAATGGGAGAAGATGGATCCAGAGAGACTTCGTTGCAAAAGGGGGAAGGAGAACAATGATGGGGAGGGCAAGGAGTAATGAACTACACAATAAGGAAAATTCCTATCATGGGACAATGCTTCTATAGCCTCTGTCACCTGCAGGAACTGGGATTTCTAAGAGTGAGATGCAATAGAAAAAGGGGATTCACAGAAAGATACAGGAGGAAATAAAGTAGAACCTGTTCAAAAGAGGGAACTCAAAATAGGTACCTTAGAGTGTTTTGTTCTCCCAAGGGACAGAGATAATCTTTTTCCTTTGCATGTGTATATCATTATTTCCATGAGGAGTAAAGAGAATAAAGGAGGAATAAATAAGTATAAGGGCCATGAATAAAAGAATAAATGCCTGGAATAGCCTTTTTATAGACTAAGGAAGGGAAAGGGAAGAGAACTAATAAACGAGGGAGAGAAATTCTTTTTTAGAAAAGGCACAGAGGGGCAGCTAGGTAGTGCAGTGGATAGAGCACCAGCCCTGAAGTCAGGAGGACCTGAGTTCAAATCTGGCCTCAGACCAAACACTTGACACTTAGCTGTGTGACCCTGGGCAAGTCACTTAACCCCAATTGCCCAAAAAAAAACAAAACAAGAAAAGGCATAGAAAATGAAATTTAAAAATTCACAAAACACTGCCAGGGAGGAGAAGGGGGGGATTTTACTTCATTACTTAACTGAGAGAAAACAAAAAGAAGGGAAGAATTAGATAAAAGGGGGGTGGGCAGGGAAGGAACTAAGTTAAGGAAAACTCCAAAACCAGGGAAAGGTAAAAAACAGGAGGGAAGCAGGGGAGGCTTGAAAGTCAGAAGAGAGCTTGTAGGAATAGGGTTGCCTTAAAGTAAATTAAGTTAAAACAACAGGAGATAAAGTACTATCTTTACAGAAGAAGAGGGGGAAAGTGTCCTAACTTGGGAAGAAAATAGACAATAAGGGA